CGGATTCTTACGTGCACAGTTAGGTTTTGTTGTGCGAGTTTGGTTGCATATAGACGGCACCAGTTTGAGATTGGCTCTAATCATCCACCCAGCTCACTCGAACTCTTCCCGTCGCAGTTCGTATGCAACATGTTAGTTAGCAGTGTTGTTCTTCAATTTCTGACTTGGCACATTTCCCTTGAAGCCTTTGGAGTTCCGTTTGCCAAATTTTGTCATTTGGAATCTCTTCTTGAAATTCTGGATCGGACGTTTCGCCATTTAAAACGTTGGCACAGAAGCATTTGCTTGACGCATGATCAAACCTGTGGATGGACGAAATCTGCACCACCTAAGAAACCTGGAATGATGATTCCTTTGCGGCCCAACAAACAGTGGTTTCCCATGGTTTCAAAGTGGTGCAGGATTTCGTCCATCCACAGTATTTGGCCATTTTGTGTGACCCTGGGCGAATCAGATTATATAGATCGAATTGCGCGAAACATCGCCGAATTCTATTTGGCCGTCCATGACAATTATTGTCATTAGTGCTGCCGTCAATTGTTTGCCTTTTCTTCCCCTGAAAACCCAACCAATGAGCTCAATGAGGACGCCCCCAATTTTGGTACGGGCAACCCGATTGACATGGTTACATTTGGCTAGAAGCTACAAGCTATGCCGTGCACTGCTGCTTTTGCCAGTTGTGGCGCTCAATTTCCTTCCGTTTTTCAATACAATCAGGCAGCTGAAAAGGGTGCTGAATAGTATGGAGCCTTCACACGACCTCGACGTGTTCCTTCCGGTAGCTGTCAAGCGCTTTTCGCATCCAGTCAAAACCACCTGGGACCTCCCGGTGTCGTAGGTGGAACGCAGGCCTTATGCCAGGTGCCACGCGGCGCCTTTTCTGGCTGTTGCGATAGATAGGGAATGAGTTGGAATGAACCGTTTTGGGATTCCCGAATAAAGGAAACCACCAGTTGGATGGTTTCTAGGGGTCATTCCAATTCTCAATCCCTGCCAAGAGCACCAGCAAGTTTCCTCTTGGCTTTGAAGATTCGCCACTTGCGGATGGAGGTTTTGCCACTGATTCAGAGGAACGCCATGGTCAAGTGCTGGCCGCTAAGGCCCCAAGCCAAAAGGCTACCCTCAAAACATATCTTGGTGGCTCCCAGCCTTCCGTTCCTTTGCCTTTTTAGATCCTTTTAGTGTTTAGTGGTAGTTTTTATTGAACCCACCAAAAGTTCAACTTTTAGCGGGGGATCTGAGGGCAGCCCAGATATGTGTTGTGAAACATCGGGGACTCCCACCATCGTGGGCTTCCTCTCGGGCCTCTTTAAACGAAAGCCCGCGGAGTCCCGGGCTTTTGACCTGGGACTTGCGCAAGGAGCTCAACTCATGCGACAGGCCGTCCATTTTTTGGGGGTTGCCCTTAGGGACCTCTAAGACAAGGTTGGAGCCAATCTCTCCAGGCGCATTGCCTGGAGTTCATCCAGGCGAACCTTGGGGATGTCCAGGCCACCGAGGCGACCGACATTTTCCTTTTTTTCTTGTTCCGGGCGGTCTGTGTGGGGGGCGGGGGTTTGAAGAGGGTCCAACATGAGGCGATAGTCCATGTGCAAGCATGGCCCATGATCTTCTTCATGCTCCACATCTTTTTTCGGTGTTATCGTTTTGCAGTGGTGTTGTTGGGAGTTGCTACCGTTTGTTTCTGCCCCCCTGCTTTGGAGTTTGATGTTTTTGTGGTGGTTTTGCAAGGGACACCAAAAGGAAAACCAAAGTTCGCTTTTGGCTTCCCTTAAACAAAAGCACCCCAACAAAATGGTCACGAGTCCCCAAGAAAGGTCGCATTTCCATGTAAAAACCGCTGCCCAGTGGTTTGGCCTTTCTAAGCCTTGGCGAGGCGTACGCGCGCCTCGTGGAGCGGCGGCCGGCCCTGCTCAAGGACCTCATCGAGGCGCGGAGAGCGGAGGTCAGAGTGGCTCAAAACCCGGGTAGATGAAGGTTTGTAAGGGACAATCCCCTCGCCATAAATAACTGCGGCCGCCTTCTTGATTCTTTACACTACCATTTTATTGCCGGGTTTTGATTATGACTCAAATGACCCCCAGACACGGCAAACGTCGGTTTGCGGTTCTTTTTTGTTCCCGGTGAAAAGGGGAGCCTCAAAGACCGAACAAGCGTTCGTATGAGTCATGTACGTCAAGGGGTTCCTGCGGCAGTGCTTTTTTTTTCTCCGCGGAAGAAGTAGAACAAACTTGTAACTCAGACACTTGTTAGTATGCGCGTGGGTTGACTTTTTGTTCAAAGCTGTGCAAACTGTTTGACCACGCAACATAAGGATGGACGCGGCAGCCGGCATCGGTGATTCGATGCCAACTTTGTGGAACATGCAAGTCAATGTACATTTAGGTGCCGGGCCAAGGACAAGCACACACACACATTGGTTATTGTTGGTTGACGTTCCCTTAAATATCGGCAACATGAGGAGGGGCCCATTTTTCGACGTTCTTCCCGTGCTCATCATTTCGGCAGGGAGTCCAGGCTCGGATTCCTTTGTCACAATCCCCAAGACTCACCCGCTGGCCCGGCTCGCACGTAGGTCATGGCGCCTCCAAAGAAGCGGCGGCTCAAGGGCAACCCGTCGAGGTGACGCGTGCGGCGCGGCGGGCTCCTGCATTCTGGTTTTTGGGGGACGGGCACCAGTCGGCCGATGTACAGGTGAAGATGATGTGTTCGCAATGCCAGGGTGTTTGAACAGTTTGCATGCTTATGCAACTCCGGTCAGCTGGGTTTGTAGCATCCCTTGAGATGATGTGTCGCATTGAAGATGGTACTGTTTGGAACAAGATCCTGCATGGAGCCGTATGTGGCCATGCCTTGAGAGAAGCGAGTGGGAGGTGTTGGTGTGAACTCGAGCCATCGCTCAAACAACAACAGGTCACTGCCCGTCCGACAGGGATTTTTGACCAGCCAAATCAAAGCCAAAGAGGGTATTCTTGGGTTTCAATTGGTGACTTCAAGACACGTGAGACAGAGTGCCGTGGGCCTACGTTCTGCATGGAGCTTAGCAATTCGTTGGGCAGCCGTTGTGCACTCTCGGCCTTCTTCCTTGTAGATAGATTTGCGGCGCGCAGACTTGTGACTGACTTTTGGCGCAATGCTTGTAGCATGGTACAGTACACCTACAACGGCCTCCCCACTGCTCTTTCAAATTCACCGTCAAAGTCGGGCTCGCTTTCGCGCGCCCACGGTTTCACCTGCACGCAGTTCAGGAGGATCTCGCATTGCATGCCAAGTCTGAGCAAACCACTGGGTTTGCAATGCAAAGCTCCTGGCTACCCTCGCCTTGGCGAGGATGACAAAGTTTTTGATGCCCTCTACTCGAGATCTCCGCATTCGGTGCCTCACCAATTCGATGCAAGTTGCATTCTCCACCGCGGTGAGAAGGCAACAGCTGCAGATCGGACCATCTGCTTCTCATGCCAAATTGGCAGGTGGTCATGGTGCTTTGGGCGAGGTGTGGATGGCGTTTTCACGGAGATCTGTCATTTCCAATTCTGATGGCATGGGATGACCCCGGGGAAAACCACATCCGTTTGTATAGGCAGCGTTTCATTGCATGCGGTTTTTGCATCGATTGAGTCAATTGCAAGACAGCTACCTGTAGTGGCCGCATTGAAACATGCCCTCGTTACATGCAAATAGCATACGGTGGATGGACGAAATCCTGCACCACCTAAGAAACCCTGAAATGATGAATCCCCTGTAAATACTAATAAATGAAATGATGAATCCCCTGTAAATACTAATAAACAATGGTTTCCCATGGTTTCCACGTGGCGCAGGATCTTGTCCATCCACAGTATTAAAATTAGAGAGACCAGAAGCACCCCAGCACAGGCTGTTTCTCCGAGCCCTCCTGATGTCCTCAAGTGGGGACAGCGGCCACCCCGCAAGACAGGTATGGCCATCAACCGTGTTGCTGTCTAAAGATGATTTTTGGCATCCCGATAAGTGAAGGAACCACCCCCTTCTCATTCCGAAGCAAAGGCTCTCAGAAAGCTAGGTTTCCTGGTCGTTTCTTTGTGAAATTTGATTGACACATTCCCGTAGTAGATGCTTTCTACTTGTCTCAACCGTGTAAACGCTATGTCTTACTTTCCCAGATTCCCAGAAGCCCGCAGAACTCACATCGCAGGAGCGGGAGCGCGTGCGCATCCTCGCCGAGGCTCGAGTGAGGGGCCATTCTGGACCTCTTGAAGAGGGCGGTTTGTTAGGTGTCTGTTTTATGGGACACCCCCGCCCAAGTGATGGTTTTCCTGTCGGTTTCCTTGAGCCACACAGATTGGCCCGCCTTTGGAAGCCTCCAAAAATATACGACACACCCAGGTTGCGGGCGGGCAGTTTGCTGGGGATCCCCTCTTCGTTCTCCGGCCAGTTGCGGGCTGAAGAGCTGAGCGCAGCAGAGGCGGAATTGGGGGCTGGAGCGAGAAGGAGGGCGCCTGTGTTGGGCCCCTGGTCCGTTATTTTTCTTCTTTTTTCTTCTTTGTTTTTCTCCTTTTTTTCTTCTTTTGCGTTTCAGAAGAATGTATCCCCACAATAACGGATTCTTTTTGAAGGGATTCACCGGTTTTTTTGGCTTCTGCGTTTTAGAAGAATGTATCCCCATAATAACGGATTCTTTTTGAAGGTATTACAAACTTGTCCTTGGGGCCGGACTCTGAAATGAAAGACAGCTGCCAGTTAGCTTGCAAAATGCTTGATGAATCTTGGAGATCCTTTGAACTGCTCTTCGCGCGGTGCTTGAAAAGGACCACTGTTGCACATCGCGCAACATGGCGTTGTTCTTTATAGGCCTGCCAATCAACAGCTGGAGCTGTGTTTGTCGTTCTGATGTTTGTTTTCTTGAAGCACGGGTTATTGCCGTTGGACAGACCAGTGCCGTGCAACATTTGGCATTGATTGTGCCAGGCCAAGGAAGTGCCATGCTTGATGGTCTATTGGCTTTGTGCCATTTGGAATCAACAGGACAGGTTACCACCCTTCTCTCCAAGGATCGCACATCCCCACCAGAGAAACACCCAGATGACATGACTTTGTGTTTGTTTGCAGTGCGTCATTGCAGCCCAAGCAAGCAAGCTTTCGATCCTTGCAAATCGGGATTCGTACCAATCCACACTAGCTTCACATGTGCGACTGCCCGATTTGGGAAGCAGGTAAAGGGTCCTACTCAAGGGATGTGAGACACTTCCGAGATTGGAGTAAGTGTTTTCTGATCAAACTCATTTGATGTTGACTTGCACCATGACCCCCCCTTCGTCCTCTTGATAAGGATCCAACAAAGAATGTCCCGTCCTTCCGATCCAGGAACGGGTGGCTGTTGTAGACATGCAATTGGCCTTTCACTTGTCTGGAGCCTGTGAGAGTTGTGCGCAATCCGCCTCGGCATGTCTGCTCCAGCTTCTTGCTTGAACCACATCTCAGGGGAGCACACAGGACTTGGCTGGTGTAGACTGGGTTTAGCGTGGCGTTTTGGTTTGGGTGGGTTTTAGTTGAGCCACAAAAGCCACGGAAAGCTGCAAATAGCTACAGCCACGAAGAGCCGCAAAAGTCGCGCAAGCCACAGAAGCCACGAAAGCCGGAGACAAACACGCAAGAACATCACAACAAGCAATCCTTCAAACTCCGCTCTACACACAGAACAGCACATGGCCATGGGTCAAAACCCCGTACCCCCAGTGAATCCCAATCCCCACTAAAATAGACTAAGATGGGTGGTGCACCTACCCCAAGATGGTGCCGTTGGTGTTGACTCACGGCTATTTGTTTGCACATAAGCCTTGAGTCGCGATGCCGATTGATTCCCTGGCTGATGACTTTCAGCACAGCATGCATGGGATCAATCAAGCGACAACAAAATATTGCCGACACGGTGTTTCGAACCAATGGGGACTCCTTGTGGATGGTTTGAGTGGGAAACGCATGCCGTTTCTGGGTTTCCTGTTTCAGGAAGCACCGGCATGGTCTTACCTAACGAGACGCCAAGTGAAGCATCCATGGCAGCCGCCAGATGTCCACCACTGGCCGGCGCCGGTCGGTGGAGGCAGAATCGCATCGCTCGAGGGCATCTTTGTTGCCATTTCACTCGGGGGGGTCATGTGTCAACTAGTGGTCCCCCAAAACGATTTCCTTTTTGGTTTCCTTTTTTTTGGTTTCCCCCAAAACGGTCCCCCAAAGCGGTTGGTTTCCTTTTTGGTTTCTCCTCAAATACCATCCAGAGAACGCCCCCCAATCACTGCCGCATGGAGATGCAGCAGGCCCTGGATGCTTGATTGCCACAGTTGGGACCGCGAGGGCACGGCTGCTGGAACGCCCTCAGCTCATGAACCGAAGCCTCGCTTGGGCTTTTGGGCATTCTGGCAGCCTTGGGGAATTGGGCGTATGTTTGCATGGTTGTTGTTGGGAAACATGTTGACCATTTTTGCTTGTTGTGGTTTAGTGGTTGAAATCCAACCACTCAACTGCTTTTTTTTTGCTCCCCTTCCAACGTCAACCAAGTTTGGAGGCAGCGTCTTGATGCTCAATGAACTGGTGGCATTTTGTCACACTCTTGCAGCACTCTTTCAGCATACACGCAGAATCAACCAAGCCATTGGCGCCGTTTGGGGCTTTCACCTACCCATTTCCCGCCCAACATCGCCCACACAAGCCGTTGTAGAACCTGCATGAGGTGGCGGGTGGCAATCCCAGTGGCAATCAGTATAGTAGACAACCAGTCATTTCATCATTTTAATTTCCGGAGTGAATAAAAGCGTGGAACCCCCCTTGTGTCCTACATTTACCCCGAAAAAAGCCCGGGGAACGACGGACTCCCCGGCACGTCCGAAGACGAGGTGCGCAGCTTATGGGACGCCCACGACGTCCAGAGCCGGGGGTTCCTGGATGCTGCGGAGCTGCGGCGACTGCTGGACTCGCTCCGCAAGGACGGGACCGGCGTTCCAGGGGACCTGCCGGGTTTTTCTCAGCTGAGCCACTTGCTCTAAACCCGGCTATATGTAGGGAAGATGTGGCTCAGCTGAAGGGACAGCTGATTGTGGCTGATTGTCCACAATCTGAGATGAAGCTTAGGACAATCCCCTTGCCAGAAACAGGACCTGGCCGCTTTCTTAATTCTTTAAATGGTTCTGGGTCAGCCATTTAAATACTGGATTTTGATTGTGGCAAAATTAGTCTCCACCAGGAGTTGGACAGCAGGTCAAATCGTCCTTGTTTCCATTTACCAGGCTTCGTTTTTTGGGTACCTATTTTTGACCCGCACCCAGCCAATGGGAACCGTTATTAGCAGGGTTGTTTCAAAAAGTGATTCATTTTGAGGGGTTCTCAGCCCCTGGCGGAGCTTTCGCCCTCAGATCGCAACCTGTGTGCGTGACTAGGGAAACGCAGGGCTCCTTGGTGTTTGTTTGGAAGAAATAGATGGATTCCACTTGTGCCGGTGATTCGAACGATTTTGGAAAGGGGCGGTTCAACCTATTTAGAGTGGGTTACAGTTCTATCTCGGATGCTTGAATGTTGGGACTTTCCATGGCTACAACCTTGCAGGTCCAATTTGGGCCACCAACATTGTTTGGCGCCCAAAGCAGCTCACTTGGACTTTGGTCGCTTTCTGGGAAGACCATTTCAGTGGTCAACATAACGTCCGGTTGCTTTCTCTGACCAATCCACTCGTTCGGACGTGAGTACCATGGACGTTTCTTTAGACGCCCTTCTTCTCGAAATTCTTGGGGCATGGCCACAACCATGACATCCAATTCTCCAATTGTACCATGATCCACTCGTTCGGAAGTGAGGCAACTTGCCTGAAACCCTGTTCAGAGGTGAGGCCACCTTGATCCACCCCCCAATAAATCAGCTGCGCCCACAGAGGCCCCGTGCGAACTTGAGTGAGTGAGTGAGTGAGTGAGTGAGTGAGTGAGTGAGTGAGTGAGTGAGTGAGTGAGTGAGTGAGTGAGTGAGTGAGTGAGTGAGTGAGTGAGTGAGTGAGTGAGTGAGTGAGTGAGTGAGTGAGTGAGTGAGTGAGTGAGTGAGTGAGTGAGTGAGTGAGTGAGGGAGGGAGTGAGTGAGTGAGTGAGTGAGTGAGTGAGTGAGTGAGTGAGTGAGTGAGGCCGCCCCGAAAAGAAAGAGAGCAGGACACTGCGATCATCCAGATGTGATTGGAAAGGGTTGAACAAATTAACAAAAGAAAAAGGGTGCAACTCTTGAGAAAAAAGAAGTGCACCTCTAGCTTGGCGGGTGGCACTCTCAGGGTCCTGTTTTGCAAAAGACACCTTTTCCTTTTTGTCAAACAAAAACACGATATGTTCGACACCTTTCCCAAAAACACATGCAACGCCTCGAGCAAACCAACAAAAACCCGCGTCAGAAGCTGGGGGCCTCCGGCGCCTTGTCCGACGCCGCGGCCGAGCGCTGCGCGGCGCTGCTGCGCGCCGACGAGGACACCGGCGAGCTGCGGCAGGAGGCGCGGCCGGGGCCGGCGGAGGCGAAAACGGCGGCAAGGCGGCGGTTTTGGGATTTTTGGGTGGTTCTTGGAGTTTTGGAATGTTGGTTTCCATCCAAAGATGGCTCAAGAACCTGTCGCGGTCGTCTCAAAGCAAGTTTCAATCGGACATATCAGGAGCCCTTTGCCAGCTCAATTGCCCAGTCTCAATCTTCCCAGACCCAAAGGGGATGGGTTGCTGCCTCTTGCTTTGGAGAAAAACCATCGAGAACCAAGGGATTCTCTTCTTCGCTCCCGGGTGGCGGTCTTTTTGCGTCAGATTGGCCAGGACTTTGGGCGACGCTTCACGCAGCTTTGGGCTCAGAAGGACGAGCTCTGATCCGATTCGTTCAGCTTGGTAGATTGGCTCACTCGACGGGTTTGCTGATTTAAGATTGAGGCCCTCTACATGTGGATCTGTGTCAGAACAAGGGCATGCTTCTTGGTTGCTCTTGCAGGGAAGTCAAACACTTACCGTTGCTGCAAACTTCGGGCGAATCGGGTTAGATGAACTTGGCTTTGTCCAAGTGAGATCCATTGAAGAGGGAAGATATTTGTAAAACCACGAGGTTGCCGGGATGACCATGCCCCAACCCTCATACATGGAAACAACTTGCAATTGGTAGGTGGCTTATTTTAGTATTCCTAGAGTTGCATCTATCCGAACCGGTGCGAAAGTGGCTTCTGTGCATCCAGACTTGGGGGGGGCAGCCCAAATAAGCCTAAGGCCTGATTCCGGGGTTGACAAGGGCCAATTTGGGCTCCCTCCCCCTCAGTCCCCATGTAAAGTGATGCCAACTGATGTCACCTCTCGATAGGAGGAACTTCTCGAGCTGCCGCAGGCTTGGGCCTTGATGCAACACAGCTTTGTAAACACTGAGGACCATTGGGGGCTATACAAAGGGAAACCAACACGAAGCCAATCAGCCGGAAAAGGTCCAACTCCTGGCACGTGGTGGCCATTAGAGGGGGAGCAGCATCACACGGCTCAGTCCCACGTCACACGGTTCTCGGCATGCCCAGCGAGTCCCTCATGTGCGACTTACCTCGACATGCGTCAGCATTGTCGACCGACAAACAAACACAGACACGCAGACACGCAGACACGCAGACACGCAGACACACATACACACACCCTATACACACATACTCACATTTTTGTTTTTTTTAAACACGTGTGTTGCATGAGACGTTCCAAAGTGCCGGCAGTGAGAAGCAAATCTGTGGCAACATGTGCCCATCGTATTTGAAGAGGCTTGCTGATCAGCTTGCGTAGAAGCGGCACTTGGCGATTTCAGGCGACAGAAGTGAAGAGAGGCTCTTTCAATGACGAGGCGAAAGCCCAAGCAAGCGGCGAGGAGGAGGGGGAAAGCTGCATGTGTCGCATGTGTTGCATTGCGAGCGGTGCGTATTTCAGTGAAGCATCACTTGGCAATGTTTTTGACTTGCCAGTATGAAAAGAGAGTTATTGGCCGAGCCTTCGGATGAGGCATCAGTGAGCAAATCGACTTCGTGGCAGTCCAGTGGGTTGTAGTGGAAGAAACATATTGGCACCTTGTGCTCAGTCACAGCGCAGGGAAGCAAAACAATAAAATCTTGACTTCAAACTGTTTGAAGAGCTCAGATACTGTAGATCAAGTCTACGTGTGTTGCATGAGACGTGTCCAGAGTGCCGGCAGTGGTGGCAACATGTGCCGACCGTATTTGAAGAGGCTTGCTGATCAGCTTGTGTAGAAGCGCCACTTTGATGTGCATCATTTCCTGCCGATTCGCAGGCGGCAGAAGTGAAGACAGGTTCATTCAATGACGAGGCGAAAGCTCATGCAAGCGTCGAGGAGGGAGGGGGCAGCAAGGTGCACGTGTCGCATTGCGAGCCGCGTTTGTTTCAATGAAGCATTTTTTGGCTGCTGATGCACGGATTGCCGAAGGCATCCAAATTTCAATGTGTCCGCACGTTTTGTTCCTTTGCCTTACCAAGTGTGTGTGTGTAAAGTTGAACAATTGCTTTAAGACAGTACATCGTACATTTCCGGGCTGGTTCTCTTAACGGTGTGGCTGTGTTTGTCGCGACTGTGAAGGGAGCTGCTGGGAGATAGGCATAGTCCAATTGTGTTGGTGGCTTGTCACATGTTCGCGCACTGCTTATCGAGATCATCAAGTTGCATGCAGCACTTCACAATCAGCTTGCCAATGGTTGTCAAACGCAGGAACTAGATTGAGAACACCTTCCGGAACAGAGCTCACCAATGTTGACTCCGGATTAATGAACCCCTGTTTATTAATATGGGGGTGTCCCTGGTTTGGTGGGCATTTCTCACTATTGGAGGGGCCCCACCCCCATATTAAGAAACCTGTAAAAAATAATAAAGAAACTCAAATAACAACATCAACATAAATAAGTCCCGTCTTAATAAACAGGGGCTAGTTAATCCGGGGTCAACATTCAGTGCCTTGCCACCCCGAATGCATTCATGCGCGAGGACCAGGAGCCCACGAGCGCCGGAGCCTCGGGGCTCGAGACAAGTCGCTTCGGAGGCGAAGCGCTAAGAGCGGCGGAGGTGGTTTTCGAGGCTACCGTCCCTTCTTTCTTTTAGGGGAAGCAGCCATATATTTATTTGGGGGCTTGCCCTATGTTGCAGAAAAGAGAACATGCGAGCCTTCTTTCTCTTGCAATTGTGCGTTGAGCTTTGGCTCCTGGGCGTGTGCTTCAGGCGAGATGCCTGGTTTTGAACCTTACAACCAGGAGCTTTCCTTTGCAACCATTCAGATGCCCATAGTTGGGTTGATACTTGAACATCTGGGTTGATGCGCAACATCCAGCAACTATGTAGATTGCAGGAGAGCTTATGGCTCTTGGGTCAGGACCAGAATCCCAAGGGCAATGGGTCACCGCTCGGCTTGACACTCGCTCGCTTTAGAGCTACATATCATTGACTATCGTAATACGTCTCTGTCTCAATCTGGTCGCCGTCATCACCTTCTACATTGGTGACAACATACTTTTTGTTCAGAAAACGACTTCGCTATTTGCCCGCGATAGTGGTTTTCTCAATGCCAAGCCGATTTGATTGGACACTCGAACAAATGGTGAGAGTAGTTTATTTCCCAGGACTAGTTTGTTCTTGTGTTTCGTCATGAGTTCGCCTCAACATTGCCTCATGCATGTTGCTTCAATGACCCGCATGAGGAGCTGCACACAGAACGGATTTCCAAGGACATTTGCCATGGCGATGTTTTGTTGTGCACTTGCCTTCTACAGGAAGAAGGCACCATTTGGAAATGACTTCCGTATGAGGATGCAGCAGTGGAGCGTTGGGAATCAAACAGTATCTTGAATAAATTCGGCCCAGGAAGCAACCACAGCCGCCCCCGCAACTTAATGTTAAGGGACCCTGACAATTCGTCCAAAGACTAAAGGCTTCGGCTCGTTTGAAAAGAGGTAAAGGGCTATCTGTTAGTGTTTCTGGAACCAGCTGGCATTTCACCTTTGCAACAAAAAACCGCCAAGTCCCATTTACCCTCACATTTCTTTTCTCCAAACAAGTAAGATGGTTTCCACTCCCCCTCCTCCCAACCGCCCTTGGAAACCGCCACCACGAAGCCACCAGGTAGCCACGCCTTGCGGTCCTTGACGCCTTTCGCCTCGCCAGGCGGATGGCTTTGACCTCGCCACGGAGATGCCGCAGGAGCTCTTTGCCGTGGGCAGCGTGTGCTCCGTGCGCCTCGGCTTTTGGGGGGTGGGTGGTCCTTGAGGAACGGGGGAGAGGAAGGGGTCTGGAAGGTGCGAGGAAAAAGTGTGGCGGGTGTGGGTGTCCTTGTCCTTTGGTCTGGGCGGAGAATTTCTCGGGATCCGGATCCTAGTACCTATTTGTCTATTTGTCTGAGAGACATAGGCTGGGGAGCCTTCCAAAGATCGTGCTTTTGGTTTGACCATCCTGCTCTTTCCCATGTGTTTTGCAGCTTGGGTGGTTGGTTGTGGGATGGCCAGAAATAGGGAAGTGCAACTGGTGGTTTTCTTGTGGTTTCCCCTTGAATCACACGTAAGGGTACTATAACGACACCTGATGAGCGTTTGCCAATCGAAGGCCTGCTGGCGTTGATCAAAATTAACTTATCATGACCTTTCATAAAACGAGTTGAAGCGCGAATGGTCTCTTGAACCTTGACCATACATGGAATATGATGTTTCCGCCTATTTCACAGCGAGCTTATTTGGGGGTGTAATGAGCCCACCATGATAAAGGTCCTCCACTTGGGATTCCCTTGCTTCAGCATCAGCTTGGGAATGCCAGTAAAATTTGCGGATTTCCAGACCAGCTTTACACATGTGGATCAACGCGGCTTTGGAATGGAACACGCCAACCACGCCTGTTATTTTGCCAGCACATTTTTTCTGGGACCCACCGGCCAGTTGCGGCTGTTGTTCCGCTGGCCAGTGTGTGGTGGTGGTGGTGGTGGTTTGTTGCCGTGCACAAACCTCAGGCGAAAGTCAGCCATCAAGATGCGAAAAGAGGAAGACTTGGCGAGCGCTGTCATCAAAGACATTCCAGGACCCAATCAAGGCTCGGACGCGCCTTGGTGTTTGGGCTGGCTCCTTCATTTTACGGGTAGAGTAGTTTGTGACTTACCAAGACGTCAGCTTATTCGACTTACTGCTTTGCCACACAATTGTTGACCAACATGCTTCAATGGACGTGTTTGATAAATCAGCTGGAATGCCCATGAACTGCATCACAGTCACAGACATGTTTTGACATGGTAGTCAAAACAATCAGGGAGTTCATGAGTTTCCATCCATATGGTTGGCTCCATGTTGGTGACAACCCATATGTTGGTTGTCAGAAGCCCCTTTTAGCATCTTGCCAGATATCTCCCAGAAGTTCCTTCCAAATGGTTTGGGCTTTGGTCGGCTTTTGAAGCCATTTCAAAAGCTTTTGACATCACTTGACACTTTAAAGTTGACCAAAGAAGGCCGCATGCCATGTTTGGTTCGCAACATCTGAGGTATTCAGCGATTCCACGCTGCCCCAAGGTGGTGTTTTCGTGTTGCTCCCCACTTTGGCCCCTCAGCTTTTCTTCCAATTGCTTAAGAATATTTTATATTTCCCCTTGTTGGTTTTAAAAGGAGTTTATCACTACTGGACATATTTGTTGATTTTTCCAGGGGGCGAAAAAGCAAGTGGAGGTGCTAAAGATGCCTTGGGTGGCCAGGATTCGGTCATACTGGGAAAGATGAGCATGGGCAAATTGGGCAAGGGGCAAGCCACATGACTTTGGCAGACTTTTCCAGCAAAAAAACAAAAAACCAGGGGGCGAAAAAACCCCATGGAAGTGTTCGTTTGTTGGCAGCGCGGCCTTTGGCTCGCCAGGTCTCAACGCAGCACGGCTCCTGGTGCTTAAGCGGGGCGCGGAAGGGCGGCTTCAGGCGCAAGCGGCACGGGGCGAAAGCGCGGGGGGTGCGGGCTGGAGGTCGATGGCTTTTCCCTCACATGGTTTGTGGTTGTCAAGACTGTTTTGGGATCCCATGTTGGTTGGTAGGTGAATTCTCCACTCATTTCAGAGCCTATTTTAGGGGGGATTGGGATGTTCACTGGGGGTACCGGCTTTTGACACATGGTTTGTGAGTGTGTAAGTGTCTTTGTTGCTTAGTAGTGCCAGTTTTTTTTCTTCTTCATTTTTTTGGGTAAGGGTTTCCCTTTGAACTCAACCAACAAAAAACAAAGTGCTCTTTTCTTCCAGTGGCCACTGGGCATCTGAGGTGTGTGTGTGTGTGTGTATCATGCGATGGAGGGGGGGGGTGGGGGTAGGGGGGTTGTGCCTGGGCTTATGGCATACGAACACTGTATGTGTGTCAAAATCAGGGTTCGCATGCAATTCGCGTTATTCTAGGCAGTCCCAAGGATGAAATCAACAATAACATGACACATGGCCACATGCCCGTTCCTTTTATCGAGTTGGTCCAACTCGTTCTGTTGACTTGGTTGAGTTCTTGTGGACAAATTAAAGAGGTGTGAAGTTAGCCTCGAAAAGGACGCCCCCCCTGGTGGGCGGTTTCAAAACAGAACAGACAGGAAGCCAGAATGCTATGTGTAGGACCAGATGATGACCTGCTGTGGGAAATGTTCTGATTTCATGGTCCGAAACAATTCGCGAGGTGCTGGTCTCCAGCAACCCAATGTCAACATGCTACGCACGGACCCATTTGCACCAATGGGTGGCTCAGCGCTGCCGCAAACTGTAGCTGCACTAGCGGGCATCGCTAGGTGTGAAGCCAACTTCTCCGTCAGTGCTCGGCGGAAAGCCGAGAACTCAAGACCTTTGAAAGCAACACGTCTCCATCTTGGCAAGGTGAAGATTGTTCAGAGCTTTCACAACCCTTGCTTCGAGCTCTAATCCCGGACTCAGCAAGTGATTTTGCGCGGCTCATTGCCCGCGCAGCAGGTGCAGCACTTCAGAACCCAACGATCCCACAACCCAACAATTTTGATTCCCTTCATATTTCCTTTTAACCAGCAAAAAGTTAAACTTTTTGCCGGGGATCTACAGCACCCAAGCTTTAGCGCAACCAGCTGAATGAGATCAGTGGCAAGATGTCGCCTCTAGTGTTGCATTGCTTTTCCCCGCGAGCCAAGAAAGGTGGGCTTGGGGGTAATGTTGTTTCCTCCCCTGGCAGCGCCTGCCTTGTTTATCTGGACGGCGGCACTGGAGCTAAATGGGTACGGCCCAAAATTAGACCACCAAGAATTGAACCGCAGGCGTTCGTCGGTGTTTCCATTTAATGCCGATCGGGCAACCCAGTTCGGGGTCACCAACTATTTTTGACCCACAGCCAAATGACATCCACAGTTCTTTCCATCCTTCCATGTTCCCACTTTCGAACAAAACAAGAACAGCACCCAGAAAAGAATGGCACAACCCAAAATGAGCCATGCCCGATTTTGGATTGCTGTAGAAAAAAGCATATGGCTCCCCTGAACGTGTAATTTACCCTGTAGGTGTGCCAAACTGGTCCCTGAGTAGTACGTAGTATATTCAGCAATGCATCCGGCTACATGAACGTCTCACAATGATCAGAACACTCAACACGTCCTCACACAAATCTGGTATGCTGTCAACTGATCTGTAGTTGGTCCTACTGTGGATGACCTATTGGACGAGCAAAGCACTGGACAGCACTTGAGATCATTGCCCGTTGCTTCTTCTTATCTAGCACCTCTATCCATGCGCGTGTGACTTCCCATCAATCAGCTAAGAGTTAGACAGCAAAGATCCAGTCCAGCGCAGATCGCAGGCATAGCAGGTCCCTGATCAGGGCTTTAAACTTAGGTTGGGGCATGGCTGTGGCGAGGGGGGCAACAGCACACCGCTACAATTGGGTGTGTCTCTTTTTGGAGTTGGTGCCTTGGTTGGTGTTCAACTTGCAAGCCAAAAGCAACGGGTACCCCTTTTGGCCAATTTGGAGCCCCGCATTGGCAGGTGCAAGACAGCCATGGGGACGTCGGCTGGGTGAGTAGCACCTCCACGGAGGGCCGCAGGACGGGGGTTGGATGTGGGTGGTTTGGGAGGGGGGGGGCGGAGCTGGGCGGGGGAATTGGGGGGTTGGGGGGTGGAGGGCCTGGGTTTCCCATGTTCTTTGGGGAAGCAAGCAGAGTTTGGCCGAGAAGGAAACCCGAGAAGAGAAAGAAACGCCTGCACTGCTGGTCTTTTGAATTGGTCACACACGCACACCGCGATTTCAATACCTTCGACTGTTGCCCGGACCGGAAGCAGCTGGCAATGTGTGTATGGGTGACGCTTACTGGTGAGCCATAGTCGTGAATTTGCGACAGCCGTTATAGTGATCCTTTTTGAGGGACTCATTCGTGTCGATGCTGCGTGCACACAAATGATCACAAATGCCTGCGGCTGCTTTGGCCGAAGACTTGAGAATGGGAGTTTACACCAACAACTCATCGCATAGCTATGAGTTTCAACAGGGAATTGCTGAGAGGTGGTGGGACATGACTCCCCTTAAATGATGTCCAAGGGGTCCCCAATCAAAAAAATACACCATTTTCTGGCCCAAAAGGGCCAACAACAGCTCTAGAAAACAGTTTGAATGCTACTTTTAGTGGATGTCACATGTTCTCCCCCTGTTGATTCTTTGTTCTTAATCGCTTAGCACACGTTCAATATCCCTAAAGGGGTGGATCCAGACAAGTCTCATCCCATACTGTGGATGGTTGCGAATTCCATTTCGCACCAGTATTCAGAAACCCAACGTTTCTGATTCGAGTCCCCTGTGAAAACCAACAAGCGCAATGGTTTCAACCATGGTTTCGAAGTGGTGCGAACGGATTTCGCAACCATCCGCAGTAGGCCTCAAAAACACAGCCTCGACCTGCACTCTGGTCAACGAAGGCATTGCCTTTTTGCAACCGGCTGTCGGACACCTCTAAATTGTGCTGCTCGTTTGCTCCTTGGTAGCCGGGCATGGAGTCATCAAGCGCTGCAAAAAGAGCCGGCGGATTATATTTGAACCCCTGCTTCTTGTAGAGGGCCGAACCACCAACCCAAACCACCAATTGGGAAGCTGAAATTCTGCCCCAAAAGGGCCAACAGCTTCCTTCCATTTGCTTAAGGTTATTCTTATTACTATTATTTGTTAAACAAAAGCACAAAATACATCCTTTGTTGGGTTGTAAGGGGACTCTGCCACTACTGGACATATTCTCTTGGGGGGCGCATCCGCCAATGGAAGCTGAGCCCCGCGAGGCTCCTTCAGCCCAGCTCCGCCTGGCTCCTCGGCGACGATCTCGAGAGCTCGAGGGCAGCGGTGCAGGAGCTCTGGCGGAGCCAGGTGCGAGCGCAGGAGCCCCGCGGCTGAGACTCGTGGGTGGGTTGGTGTGGGGTGGGGTTTGGGGTTTGGGGTTTGGGGTTTGGGGTTTGGGGTTGGGGTTTGGGGTTGGGGTTTGGGGTTTGGGGTTTGGGGTTGGGGTGGGGTGGGGTGGGGTGGGGTGGGGTGGGGTGAAGTGAAGTGGGGTGAAGTGGGGTGGGGTGGGGTGGGGTGGGGTGAGGTGGGGTGAAGTGTGGGGTGGGGTGAGGTGGGGTGAGTTGAAGTGGGGTGAAGTGGGGTGGGGTGGGGTGGGGTGGGGTGAAGTGAAGTGGGGTGAAGTGGGGTGGGGTGGGGTGGGGTGGGGTGGGGTGAGGTGGGGTGAAGTGGGGTGAAGTGGGGTGGGGTGGGGTGGGGTGGGGTGGGGTGGGGTGGGGTGGGGTGGGGGTGAAGTGAAGTGGGGTGAAATGGGGTGGGGTGGGGTGGGGTGAGGTGAGGTGGGGTGAAGTGGGGTGAAGTGAAGTGGGGTGGGGTGGGGTGGGGTGAGGTGAGGTGGGGTGAAGTGAAGTGGGGTGAAGTGGGGTGGGGTGGGGTGGGGTGGGGTGGGGTGAAGTGAAGTGGGGTGAAGTGGGGTGGGGTGGGGTGAGGTGGGGTGAAGTGAAGTGGGGTGAAGTGGGGTGGGGTGGGGTGGGGTGGGTGGGGTGAAGTGGGGTGGGTTTGGGGTTTGGGGTTTGGGGTTTGGGGTTGGGGTGGGGTGGGGTGAAGTGAAGTGGGGTGAAGTGGGGTGGGGGGGTGGGGGGTTGGGGTGGGGTGGGGGTGAAGTGAAAGTGGTGGTGAAGGTGGGGTGGGGTGAAGTGAGTGGGTGAAGTGGGGTGGGGTGGGGTGGGGTGGGGTGGGGTGGGGTGGGGGGTTTGGGTGGGGTGGGGTGGGGTGAAGTGAAGTGGGGTGAAGTGGGGTGGGGTGGGGTGGGGTGGGGTCGGGTGGGGTGAAGTGGGGTGAAGTGAAGTGGGGTGAAGTGGGGTGGGGTGGGGTGGGGTGGGGTGGGGTGGGGTGAAGTGAAGTGGGGTGAAGTGGGGTGGGGTGGGGTGGGGTGGGGTGAAGTGGGGTGAAGTGGGGTGAAGTGGGGTGAAGTGGGGTGAAGTGGGGTGGGGTGGGGTGGGGTTGGGTGGGGTGGGGTGGGGTGGGGTGGGGGTGGGGGTGTAGCTTTTTTGGGGTCGGGTTTAAAGGCAAAGTGAAAGGAAATTCAGTATTTTAGTGTGACCATACATGGTGATGGGAATTTGTACGTGTAGATACATAACCATGCATGCATGTTCATCCATGCATGATTACCAGTCCCCGTCAGCACATGGGTTTGGAGCTTTTCGTGCAGACAGAATCAGTGCCCAAATCAACTACACAAGGTAGCCGTGCCCGACCTGTGCCCGACCAATGTGTAAGTATGTATAACTATAACTGTAGCATATTGTGTATATATATATACATGCGACATTTGACGAGTGAGCCCTGTTTGACCAAAGGTGCCTCCCTTATTTGGTTTATGCATCGCGCTGTTTGATGCATTGGCGATGACCCTGGAAGCCAACATTTCTATCATCACATTTGATCTATCCACCGTCTAACCAGGATCTCAGGCACCCAACATGACCAATCCTGATAGCCAACGATGATCAATTCACAATTTTCCGTGTATCTGGCGCACCGATCTGAGGGAAGGCGGGGATTTCGTGTCGGAGATGCTGGCAGCGCACCACTGTGCCCTGGAGAACGATGCCCGGCGCTGGCGCCTTGTGCAGGCCGCCACTCCACTTTTAAGCGGCATGAGTCTCGTAGCTGCGGGAGCAGCCGCGGCACTTTGCCCTTGGGGTAACTTCCATTTCCATTCTTTCAGGATCCTTCTTTCTAGAAAACCGCCAAGAACCCTGGGTAAATGGCTGGTTTTTGAAAAGAAGGATGCCTTAAAAGAATGGGGAATCAACCCCTAGAACTTTGCCCTCGGCATTCTTTCCTTGTGAAATGGCGCACACACACACACACATGTAAACTTCTGATAGAGGAAACCACCACAGATGGATAGAACCGTGCTTGATTCTTGCAGACTCCCCGCGTACCACCCAGTGGGCATTTGTTCACGTCCCTGCCCGAGCAAGACGTCAGCGAGTCTTATCGCCTGAGGAGGTTGAGGACGTCAAGCAAGAGCTAGAAGACGAGGAGGAGACTTGCAAGGCCTCTGTGAAGAAGCTGAGAGCAGAACTGAAGTTGCAAGAGGCGAAGGAGCCAAGTGGGAGAGGTGGGAATGCATCGGTTTGGCCTGGAGCGGGTGAACTCTCGCCCGCTACTCAAGAACCAAGCGAACGGGCAGTGTCACAAGCTCAACCTGGAAAATATTCACTCTCATTGCTCTATGCGTTGATTTTGCAAACTGTGTTCGTCAGTTGGAACATGCTTTGCTGGTCAGAGGGAACTTTCTGCCAAGGGATCAGGGGACTCAATAAGGGAGGCCGCAGGGAATAGTTCATATGGCTGTGTTTTTTGAGTTGGTACCCATTTTTGGTGAAGGGCAACCAACAGTTGAAAACCGAAGCCATTTTGAGGGTCCTCTAAAAGCACACAATCAGACATCCGTAATATATATATATATGTGATACATATATATATACATACATATATATATATATA